GTAAATTATGCATGTTTGTATGTAGGTATGTATGCATGTATGTATATGTTTATATGTATGTATGTATTTATGCATGTATGCATGCATATATCTATATATATATATATATGTATTAATTTTTTTTATACATACATACATATATATATATCAATAGTTATATAGCACACACTATCACAATAACACGCCAGGGTATTAGTACCTCGCAAATGCTGACTATACACTTGCACAACCTTGTACGTGTGCGTGTGTCACAGGCTACGAAGGATAGGCTACCCACACGCTTCGTGAACATGGCTTTGGAGAAGCTAGTCACGCTAAGCTCCACACGCAGTGTTCAACAGAGTGTGGTGAATAATACAAAATATCGAGCCGCCATTGCCGAGGGGAGCCTGGCGATGCAGCCGGTACCAGGACAGTTTGAGTCCCATTCCGAGGCCATCAAGTTCCTGCGCCACCGCGTGGAGCTGGGCGAGGACATTCACGTGGACAAGGTGGGTCAAGAGTTGAATATGGTAGGTAAACCATTGCCTAATGTAGGCGCTGCCTATACAGTCCGGGGCAGGACGGAGGTTTGGGGGGAGTACGAGAGTCAGGGGTTTAGTCAGAGCCGGAAGGACAAAGATACCAAAGCGGCTGGGGTGCAGGAGCTACTCAAGCTGAGTGTGGACATGTTCATGCAGCATGTGAGTGCGACGCAGCCGGCGACGGCTAGAAATAGCACATGGAATGTTATAAATAGAACACGGAGTAGTTCTATAAATGGAACACGAGATGGTGCTTCCGGTCGAGCACGGAAAGAGGGGTCTGGGAAGAAGAAGGTGAAGAAGAAGGAGAGCAGCGGTGTGACCAACCCCGGGGGGAATGCGGGTAAGAGTGGGAAATTGATGGGCAGGCAAACCCCGCCAGCGAGTAAGAAATCTAAAAATATATCAAAAAATAAAAAGAGAAAGGGTACAGATGTGTCTGTGGATAGGCATACACGCGCCCCACCGACTTCACCTAGCCTGGATGTCCCACATTACGCGGGAGGGAAACAACTACACACACACTCACCTACAGGCCAATTGAGTATGGACACACACACACACTCACCTACAGGCCAATCGAGTATGAATACACACACAGACAAATACACGGTGCCGGTTATAGCTGACTCTGCCATTACGCACGGCTATGAAGGACACAGGACGCTCACGCCCTTATCGCAGGACGCGGATGCGCTGTCCAAGAACACACACACGCACCACGAAGTACTCGCACATATGCCCCACACGGACACATCCTTACACTCTGCGAGTGAACCAGTGGAGCACGGGATGGGTCACTCTCCTGCACAGTACACAGGGATAGGAGACAGGGACGTGGCGACTGTGGAGGCACATACAAGGAACTGGCATGACACAGCAACCAGGGCAGCGATGTGTAGTAGCCACGCATATACCACAGACCAAGGCGTGGGGGGAGAAGGAAGTCCGTTTTTTTGCGAGATTGGGGACAGGACCGGAGGCGGTCCTAAAAAATTGGGAGCCGGGTGCACTACGGCGGGAGCTGGGTGACTGTGCGGATGTGTATGGGGGAGAGAGTGAGTCGAAGTGGGCCGTACAGAACTACGCATACTCACAGTCACCGTCACACGCACACGCACACTCACACGCACTAACACGTATGTACAAACACGCCCAGATACACACACACGTACACGCACACGCCCAGGCCTTTGCGTGGCATGCACGAGTGCTGAATGGTGTGTTGGGGGGTGCTCGCACACTCACACGCACACGCGGATATGCAGCGGACGTACAAGGCTTCCCTTACACACAGGTGCACAGACACATGCGGTCGAGCTTACACTTGGGGTGTGGGTATAGGCCTGGAGGGTGTGGAGGGGATGGTACGGGAGTTGTGGTAGGTAAGCCGGGGAATGTCCTGGAATGTGATGCGGGAATACCGGGACGGCAGGCGTTGGTGGCAAGTAGTGTGCACGCTGTGAACGTGTCTGAGCCACGCCGGCGGTATACGAACGGGGCACATACACAGCAACATACACAGGCACTTACACAGGTACATACACAGCACCATACACAAGCACACACACAGAAAACACATATACAATCACAGGCTCATGCATTATCAGACACAAGCACGAGTGCGTATGAACACGCAGCAACAACGCAAGATATACCCTCACCCCCCGCCGACCCCAATCTCGACCCAGCCCACCACTACAGCACCACCAGCCCAACCCAACGCCGCAACTTGCGAGATATACTATACCTACTAGACTGCACCCGAGCAGCAGGCTACACCCCTCCCGGCCTCATCCCGCTCCTGGCACGCGTGGATGTGGGTATAGATATGTACACACCCGCGCGGACGTTGTCTCGTGTTGCACTCGCGCTCAGGGCGAATGATATGATAGCGGCTACGCGCTTGACGGGCTTGCATGGAGTGCTTAAGACCGAGGTGAGTGCTTTAATTGTCTTGTTTTCAAGTGGGTTTTTGTATGGATGTACGCATGTATGGATGTATGTATGTATGTATGTATGTATGTATGTATTTATGTATGTATGTATGAATGTAAGTATATATATATATATATATATATGTATGTATGGATTCCCTTACGCTAGTTTGCGGACGTGTGTATTTATATGTACGCATACATTCTATATACTTGCCACGCGTCGAATTGGTCTTCTCTATTTCGCGGGGGGGATGTGACAATAGGGGACCATACGCC